ACTGTGCTATGTCATTGGGACCAAAGCCTGTGATGTCTGAAGGAAGCAGGATTGAAGCATAGGGAAGAGTTATATTTTAATGCAGTCACAACAAAGGCCTTGGCTGAACCTATGGGTAGCACTCGAGCACGGATGGCCTTTGAGAGTTGTCTTGCCTTAGCCAAGGAGGCTGGGCTTTTATAAGTTGGATATAAGATGTTGTTGGAGAAGAGTCATGACCTCAGATGAAATAGCTCTCTCCAGCTGATGGCAATTCTCAGGAGTAATTCAGCTGCGTGCTCTCAGCTTCCAACACTGCCAGCAGCTGAGGGAATGAGTGCCCTACTCCCTGAAATGTACCCCAGAGTGTCCACTATAGACTCCGAGACAGTTTCTCCTTTACCCCATAATCCACACACATAGGCTCAGAATTGAAAAGTATCACCAATGCCAGGATTACAGAAAATATTTTTTTGGGGGCGGACAGGTCCTTTTATCTTTAGTGGTGTAAAGCAGTGGTCCCCGACATTTTTGACACCAGGGACAAGTGCTATGAGAATCTAAGGCCTGATGATCTGAGGTGGAGCTGAGGCAGTGATGCTAGCTCTGGGGAGTGGCTGCAAATACAGATGAAGCTTCGCTCGCCAGCTGTTCACCTATTGCTGTGCAGCCCAGTTCCTAACAGGCCACGGACAGGTATCAGTCTGTGGCCTGGGGGTTGAGGATCCCTGGTGTAAAGTGTTTTAAAGTCATGTGAAATATTTCCTTTCTGAGTGATTATGCTACCAACTCATTGTTCAATTCATTTGCTTCGTTTTCAATTTTTAGGGGTTTTCAAATTTTTTAATTTTGATTACTAATTATGTAAAATCTTCACATGGTTCCAAAACAAGGTATATTCCAAGTCTAAAATACATTACAGATGTATTTTTAAAAATATATTTGATTTATACTTCTATTTAAAACTATAAATACACACACACACACACACACACTCATTTGCCCTTTTTCTTAATTGGTAGCATACTGTGATGGTTAATTTTGTGTTGACTTGACTGGGCCATGTGGATGCCCAGACATTTGGTCAAATATTCTGGGTGTTTCTCCGAGGGTGTTTTTTGTAAATGAGATTAACATTTAAATCAGCAGACTTAGTAAAGCAGATTGCTCTCCCTAATGTGGGTGGACTTCATGTCATCAGTTGAAGCACTGAATAGACTAAAAGGCTGAACTTCATCCCAGTCAGAGAGAATTCCTATTGCCTGACTGCCTTTGAACTGGAACATCAGCTTTTTCCTGCCTTCAAACTCAAACTGTTTTATAATAAATCTCTTATTTTATTTAAAAAACATCAACATCACAGTTTTAAGATATTTATTACTAAGAATTGATCCATGTGATTGTGGAGGTTAACGAGTACCAACATCTCCAGAGTGAGTTGGCAAGATGGAGACTGAAGAGAACTTAAGATGGAGTTCCAGTCTGAGTCCAAAGACCTGAGAACCAGGAGAACTGATGGTGTAGTTTCAGTCCAAAAGCTGGCAGACTTGAGACCCAGGATGATCCAATGTTTCAGCTTGAGCCCAAAGGCAGAAAGACAATGGCCCACTTCAAAGACAGTCAGGCAGGAGGAATTCTCTCTTACTTGGATGACGGTCAGCACTTTTAGTCTATCCAGGCCTTCAACTGATTGGATGAGGCTCAACCACATTAGGGAGAACAATCTGCTTTACTAAGTTTACTGACTTAAACATCAATCTCTCTCTCTCTCTCTCTCTCTCTCTCTCACACACACACACACACACACACACACACACACACACACACACGCACACAGTTCTGTTTCTCTAGAGAACTCTGGCAAACACACCATACATAGTATTTTCTATATTGCTTTTTTTTTTTTTACTTAACAGTATATTCTAGGGATCAATTTGTAGCAATATACAGAGACACTTCTTATTCTGGTAGCTCCACAGAATTCCATAGTGTGGATGTAACCTAGCTTCTCAACTAATTTCCTTCTGAGGGACATTTGGGTCATTCTAGTCTTGCTATTACAACTAGTGCTGTAGTTACTACAATTTATTCAATCATTTCCTTACATTTAAGATATCTTCAGTTTATTTTTTTGCTTTACAAAAAGTTGATACAATATATATAAATTTTCACAGAACTTGGCATATTCATTTACAAAATTGTGAATCCTCTCAACTTTCTCATCCATTCCTTTGTTGAATGTTCAATTTTATAATATTTTAGAATATATCCAAGAGCATCTTGTTCCCCAAATGCTCCCTTCTTGCTCCTATTCATGATCTTTTATTTCCCAAGGTGTCTTAGCATGGGTTCCCTGAAAGCAGAGTCTGTGAAAAAGGCTTATGCACAGGCAATTTTGAGGGGAATGTAATCCCAGGAAGGTGGGAACTAAATGGGGGCAAAACAAACAAACAAAAGGATGTAGGCAACTGGCTCTCAATCCCCTGCGAGTTTCTGAGAAATCTTTTTAAAATATTCTCAGATCTCTTGTCTAAGATACAAAAAGGAGAAGTACCTATTCCACTCACAAGTGTGTTAATTTTCCACTACCAACAAATTGTGCATACAAGAATGTCAAAAGGGTTCCTGCAACATTCCAACCGAGGTGGCAGAGAAGTCTAGGGCAGGGAACAGTTGTTTATAGCTAGGGCCAAAAACATGGCAAGGTCTAACCGTAGTTGGGTGGAGCTGGTCCAAGACCATGAAGAATTGGTTACTGCAGCAGTGGCTAGAGTAAGTGCTTGGACCAAGAAGATTCTGAAGTGATACACAAGGGGTATCTGATATACTAGGGCCAGTAATGACAACTTCACATTTTCTAAAAGTCTTTCCTATTAGTTGATTATGCTATTTGCATAGTTCTCTACCTCCCATATTAGCAGCACTTAAGTGTTGATGATCTGTGCCTGTCTGCTCATATGTGAGGCCCGAAAAACCTGACGAGAAGGTCTATGTGCATGGGAGAGGCTTTTCAATAGGACTTTAGTGGAGGATGATACAGATATTCCATATCAATGGGGAAATTTAAAACAACATTAATTGTAGGACTTTTCTCATGGGCTAATTTCCCTGTGGAATAGGCTAGACTTTCCTGCCAAGAGCAGAGTGGAGTGGGGGTATAAATCTGGATGCCAACAATCTGGCTGCTGTGGGGGAAAAGTGAGTTGAGGTGCCATCAATAAGAATGTGGTCTTTAGGGTAATCTCCTGGCTCCTAGTTCAACACCCCTGCCCTCAGCTGCACTTGCACCTGTAATCTCCTGCAGGGGTGAATGAGAGGCAATGGCAATTACTAAGGTTTGTGATGTGGTGAAGGGGATAGACTTCTACGTATTTCTATTTTCAGTCCCACTAGTATCTCCATTCCTGAAATCTGTCAGGGTTTGCAGTGTAAATCCACATACTTCCATAGTTATTCTACTGCCAACTTAAATCTCAGCTTTCTCAGGTTTGCTCAGTTATATATCATTCATTCATAAGTTTTCCAGCTTCCAAAATTTTACAGCTGTTATCATCTGATTTTGTCCTTTTAGGTCTATATTATTTTTAAAAAGTTACTGCCACTTTAGTGTGGTTTGAGAGAGCACTGACATAAATGTTTAATAATCTTTATTTAACTGAAAATTTCTGCCCTGCTACTTCCCTAAATATTATAAAGTTTACAAAGTTATTTAATATCCCTTATTGTACCATCCATGAATAAACACTCTGAGTGATTTTATAGCAAGGACCATTAAATAACTCACTCTCTCTTTTGCCCATTCTGCTATTAGTTCCTTGTTGTTTTTCAAACATCTCAAGCATGTCTTTTCATCTCTGGGCCTTGCCATTTGCTATTTCCTCTGTCTGGATTATTCTTGCTCCATGAATCCCCATGACTTCCTCCTTACTTCTTTCAGGTTTTCACTCAAATGTTACTTCATCAGAGATGTGCTCCCCTACTCTATCTATAAATCACAGAGGAAGGGGAAAAGAAAGAAAGAAGGGTGATTGGTTGTCTGGGCATTGCATTTCATAAAATATAATGGGAAATGAAACCCTTTTGACTATTTCTTGAGGTTAAAGTATGATCTGGCCCAGAGGTTTCCCTAATTCTGGCACATCTGAACCAAACCAAAACAATCTTCCCATACTTTTTTCCAAAAAAGCAAAGGAAAAAGAGAAAGGAGGAAAAATATTGCCAGGCACTCTGTGTGGAACTGTATATGACTCCATGAGAGCAGGATATATTAACCTAGCACAGTAAGCATTTAAACATTTGTCAAATGACTGAAGACCAGGGATCACCCTGAATGTTCTGCTTTGCATAACCTTCCTCTAAGACTTGACCCATCGGTGAACTGGTGGACTTCCCAATAATCACAGACTGAATTTCCTGTTGCCTCAACAGAATGAGGCTTACGGTCAGATTAATTTTATTTAGAAAAAATAAAATGGCTTTTCTCATATCCCAGAGTTCTTGGAGTAAAATTTGTACATGCCACAAACTTAAGGAAATGTTTCAAACAGATCATTTGGAAAGGAAGGACTAGATCTATAAGAAAAATCTCGGTCTAATTAAAAGAGGAACCCCACTCATGGTTCATAAGATATATAAAACCAAATAAAAAATGTGGGCCAATTATGAGAAATCAGAATATGAGAATGTTAGGACTTAAGAAAATAGTTTAGCTTTGACTTTTTGATGGAATAGTCGAGTGCAGCCCTCGTGGGTTTTGTGTTCAAAAGCAACTATTTGCTGAAATTATTTTTCATTATCTGAGCAAGAAGGGATCAGATGCGAGGTTTAAACCTATATGTATAAAACAGATTTTGAAATTTTTAGAAAAATATTTGTCATCTCCCACTCTATACCTCAACTTACACAATGTGCTATGAGATACACTACTCTTGATTGCGAAATAACTGAGCTTTAGAATAATTCAGTGAGTTTCCGATTATTAAAAAAATATATAAATTTAAAAAATCAACATTAACACCTGCTTAACAATGATAAAATATACTTTTATTTACTTTGTTGAATCAGAGGATCATAAAAAAATTATTGCTAAAGTAGATATCAGGCAAACAGAAAAGTGCTTTAGAAGTCCAGTTACCTTGGAGTTTATTTAAACTAAGAGAAAAAAGTCATAATGTTTTCATGCAATACATACTTGATTCTTTAAATAACAATTGTGACAAATAACAAAGAATTAAGGAATGCTGCACTGTGATCCATACAAAACACCGACATTTGGGGTTGTACATAATTTAAAGAAATGTCTCAAACACGTTTCAAAATACTGATGTAGCCAATATATAGAGGCATGCCTTAGGTGGGCATAGGAATGCAGTTTAGAAAAAAAAGAAGAAACCCACACTGGAAATAGTCAATTCCTTGAAAATCACTGAGCAAGAAAGCAACATTAAACCGCGATACTGATTTTACACAACTTCTATACAGTACCTTGACTTAAATCCAAGAGCAAAAGTTAAGACTCTCCTCCTCTATTTTTGGTAAACAACTGCATGGTAAACTTAGATGACTTTTCCCCCTGGATTTTACCTGGGAGTGGCCTTTTAAATTTTTTATTTAAAAGAGGGCAGGTTTGGCACTTTTATACTGATGTCACCAATGTTAATATTTCTTGGGATCTCAGGAAGATTCATATTCTTTACAGCTGATACAGCACGGGCTGGAGCTCCTGCTAAGCCAGCCTGTATACAGAAGCAAATAAAAGAAAAAGAAAATGTACAACTCAGATGTAGCTCATTAAAAAACACTAAAAATGGAAGACAATGATAAAAGATTTTCAAATAACAAGCTTAGACAAGATGGCAGTTTGAATTGGTATGGGATGGTTACTTTGAAATACTAATCTATAAAGAGAAAACAGTTGACACATTAAAAATATAGTGAATACATGCAATGATAACAATGTAAAGATTTAATACAAATTAAACTGTACTTAGATATTATATACAATATTCAAATGACAAAAGCTAGATCTTCACTTATATCTTGATTTAACTGACTATAAGCATGAAGTATAGTTTACATTAGTTTCCTTATTAAACATCTCTTATAACAATCATGATATATTTTGGGGTTTCTGCTTTTAAAAATGGCATTTATTATTGATACGTGCTGTGAAATAAAAACTAAAAGTAGTAGATCATGCTTGGTTTAGTTTCTTTACTTAGGGCTAGCTCCTTAAAATATTTCAAAACAAAAAATTTTTTAAATCATTTTTTAAAACTGTAGAGGCTGAACTTTTCCAGGGAAGTTCTAAAACATTTTTTAAAATCAGGCTTTAAAATAAAGTCTTAATCCAAAGAGAACCGTTTTGTCTAAAAATGAAACTGCAACAAGAGGATCAATCCAACCTTTGGTGCATAAGTAAAAATATTAACGATTAAAAATATTTTGTCATATCAGGTAGATTCAACAACATATGCTTAGTTTATAAAATATAAATGTAAAGAATGGCATAAATGCAAAAGATAGTGTGTGTATATATATATATATATATTTTTAATTTCCAGTACCATTAGTGTACAATATTTGGCTTTCATATGAGTAGGAAAATTTGTAATTTTGAAAGAAAATATACTTAAAAAAATAATATATATAATTTTTTCTCAAATAGCTACATCAACAGTCTTCATATATTAAGGTTTAATTTATATACCAATTAAATTTCATCAAATTTTATTTAGGCTATATAATAAAGTAAAGCCAACAAACACATCTCAATTCAGTGGCATACATCATCTTGCACAAAAGAGGACAACAAAAACAAATCTTCCATTTTGCTTAGATTACATATATGAGACAATGTTTGTGTAATTAGAGACACTAGTTTTAAAGTCCCTTTTTGTAATTTTAGGGTCTTTTCTCTTATGTAATCCTACCTTTTTAATTAAAAAAATAGTAATAATAAAGCTGTTACCTGAGAAAAATCTTGACTGATACAAAATAGGCCAGTGTAAACTATTTGCTGAATAAAGGATACAAACATTGTTAAGCAATGAAATAAAAGCCATGGATTATCAAGTCAGAATTGGAAACAAAAGAAAAATCAGTAAAATAGTATTAATAATAAATATGGTCCACATAGACAATGATAAGGGGTGATATGGAAGAAATACTCCATACCCAATTATAGAATGAATAGGGCTGGGAATTCAATTTATGTAATTTAATAGGGGTTAGTTGTTTTTGATGTATAACTAAGAATTTGATTGACCTCTACATTTATACCTACCTGAAATAATGCAGTTTTTGTTATACCTCACTTCCTTCCCACTGCCCCAAAGATGGAGATACAAACAAATATTACTTAGGGTACCATGAATCATATTCAAAGGGGTCTTTAACTTGATCATTTCAAGTTCAATGTTTAGCTACTGAAATTTAGAATGGTTTAGGACCAAAGAAGAATTCAGGTCAAATAGCTTTACCATCTTGTAGGCTCTCTTCCTTTTATCAGGAAGTATGTTGTCTGCCAAAGGAACAAAAATTATTTTATAAACTTAGACATCCTGGAGCTATTATTATCATTTTCCAGGAAGAAGAATTTTGTAATTTTTTATAAATAACAAACCAATTTGCCTCTATTTTTACTTTGAAATTTCTATACAGGGTACAAATGATGAGCAGACTATAAAAAGCATTGTTAAGATATTTGAATATAAATATTTTAAAAAGCATGATTAGAGGATTTTATAATTAAGAGAAAAGGCAGAAATGTATGTATATGTATGTATATATTTTATTGGATGTTATGATTTATATTTACAGTTAAAAGTTTTTTTCAGTATTTAATTAAACGTAATTGTCAAGAAGTCTTTTTTCCATATCCTGTACCATGAACAGCTAGCTAAATCAAACTTAAGCAAAGAAAATGAGAATAAAAATTCATCCTGTTATATTTTATTAGAATAAGTTGTTTCTTTGACCAAAGATGGTATTGATTGTTGGCTGCTAATGAGAATACATAAAGTCAATATAACAACTGATTTAAATAGCATATATGTGCCAAGTTCTTATTATGTAAAACCAAAAGAAGTTTCTAAGTACAACAAACTACAATTCTTCTAAAACATAAGCAGCAAGCTATAGACATGCAAAGGATGGTAACTATTCAGAACACGCAAATGAATTAAGAGAATCAAATTATTTCTCAAGCATGTTCAATACTTTTGTGTAGAATATCATGAATTTAAATGTTACGAAATTTAAAAATTGTAATGTGTATGTCAATTAAGTTTTAATTAAACTAGCATTTTAAGAAATCAGATTCTACAGAATATAAAATGTAAAAAAAAATACTAGAAGGACTGATATCAGTAACTAGATATTTAAATGAGCTATCAATGTTTATATATAAAAACTTATGGTTTTAGAAAAAGGCTTCATGTTACCAGGTAGTCAACAACCCCTAAATTGCTTTAAAATCAATTTCATTTTCAGGCTTTCATGAAAGTGAAGTCTGAAACATTTTTATTAAAGGACAAAATGTAAAAAGTAATTTGCCATTAGGGAATCAGTTCGCTAACACAAGGTATAAAGTAATTTTCATCTTAGTTAAGATTTTTTTTTTCAGTAAGATATACTCAAAGCAACAAGATAACACTCAAATTTTTGAACACTCAAATTTACAAAAATTAAGTTCACGTGACTTGTTAGTAGCAAATACAATTCAAAATGTAAAAATAAGATATTTCTGACAGTACAACATAGTTCTTAAAGATTTAAGATTACACAGTTGACACAAGCAGAAATAAAAGGAATGAACCCCTACTGGAGAAATAACTTGCTTCCATCTATGTTATCTCACTCGAGCACCACCATGGCAAGTAAACTGCAGCGACTCCACTAACGAAAACAAATATGTGAATCCAAAGCAGTTAAAGGTATGAATTGGATGAAAGTATGAAGTACAGTATATAAAAGAATGGTCATGTTTTCTCTCCCATGAGATTAAATAAATTAACAGAATTAAGAGAAAGAAAACAAAATGAAGTCTGCAAGTATACCAAAATGAGGCCAAACAGATAGAAGACTTATACAGACATACTCTCGAAAATTTCAAGCACTGGAATCACAAAGATAGTAATGGATGGATATGATTTGTTTTTTATTTTGTTTTTAAATTGCCAGACCCAAAAATAAACAAAATATGTGCAAGCAAAACTGAAAAAGCAGTATTACTAAAATATACTTCAAAAAATCTGAAAGCTCCCTTTTCCTCATGCATAAACAATTTACTTTCTCGAAGGAAAAAGTAAAGAATCTAAATATTTATTTCAATTTCATCTAAGACATAAAATACCATCCTACCATCTTAAAATATTTTTTTCGAGTTTGAAATATAGCATAAGAAGATGGTAGGTTGGAATAATTTGTACATACTAAAACCTTCACCCACCCTTCCTGCTGGAAGTTGCTATATGCACATTCATAATTTTGACCTATTAACAAAGTGAAAGAACATCAACATTAATAAACACAGTATTAAATGGTTTCAGACTCAAAATCATTAACAAAATAATGGCAGATTTTAAAAGCAGGTTTTGAACAGAATAGAAAATGTCAATATTTTAATTTCTGAATGTAAAATGGAATAACTTTTAATCTGGGGAATTATGATAGGCTTGCTCTTTGCTTTTTTAAAGGCAGTGCTTTAATACTGCAATTATAAACAGATTAGAAATGTTGATGACAATCCTCTGATGAGCAAGAACAAGGCGTTTAAAAATTTTTTTAATCAAAATTAGAATATTTAAAAATTTTAAAACCTTCTAAATTCTAGTCATTTTATATAATCTTCATTTATAGATTTAATTTCAAGCACAGAATTTGCCTGTGTGAAATAAATATAGCCAACTAATGCCATTCATGGATTTAATACAACTCATTTTGACCATGAGTGATCTCAGGGTCCTCACCATAATTTTGTACATAAAATAACCATATGCATGTCAACATAGAGGGGCAGAACTAACTCACAAGATGACTGTCCAACATCTATGTCATAGGCCCCCTTTTCTTATTCTACTCTGTTTGAAAATACATACTTGATTAAAAGAAAGCAAGCTAATTACTAGTTCTAGGTATGGAAGTTAAGAGACCCAAGTGGTTGATGGTTCTTTGCTAGAAAACAGCAATTTAACATAAATTAAAGACAAACATAGAAATTGGCAGTAATTTGGATCAATGAAGTGAATGACATCATTATTTTGTATTCTAGGGATTAATATGGTTCCAGGGACCAAAAGTGGTACTCCCAGCTTCATGATACAGGCCACAATCTTGGGATAAGAAATTTTAAAGCCACCTGTCCGTTGCTGCTCTGTTGCTGCTTCTCAAACACATCCAGAAAGTAATAATTTAGTGGCTAAAAAGCAATGCTAAATTCTCAGTCACATTTTCCTAATTAGTAAGGTAGGTAATCTAGCTTGTTAAATTTATAGATTTTCCTTTTCTTCCATGGGATGCAATAAAGTATTTTTATTTTGAAATTTTTTAAACAGGGGCCTATAAACATTTTCATTTTTCCCAAAATGGCTTTGTACAAAAAAGTTGTTCATTACCATCTACATGGAAATTTTTCAAAAGTAACTCAGTTAACTTATGGTATGAAAAATGCACAGGAAATACCAGAGAAAATTTAGTTTTGTAAAGCTAGGAGTCTATAAAAACATTTCTTATATTTGCCAATATGCTTTGCAAAAATATTCAAGGTTTACAATATTTTATTGAGACTTATTATGGCATGTTTGGATGTCAGAAGGTTGCTATGGTGGAAATCCATTTTATTTTGGTCAATATATTTAATTCCATTTTTTAGAGCATTTAATTCAATTTCAGAAGATTTCTGATCTTGCTTTTTGTTGGACATTTTGAATATGCACCTGTTAATCAAAACTTGTAAAAACAATTCTGTTAAGACTTTAGACCTGAAAACCATTCTGGGTGGAAAAAAGGTACTATTTAACAGTCACTGTTCTAAGCCTTCACTGCTTCTCATTTTGTATGCAAAATTCGAAAGGTTCAGCTTTCGGTTTTTAAATTCACAGCTTCTAAAACCTAGCAGGCAATTTTATGTTAGAATCCTTAACTTATGAAGATGGAGAAAAAAAAATTTGTGAGAGTTAAATTAAGGTTCTGCCATATGATGCTCAAAATAAACTCTAAATTTTGATATATAAATTGCCATTTCTACAAAATGTAATTTGTCTGTTAAATGACAATGTTTAAAAAAAATTAACTTTCCTTTTACAATGCAGGCAGACAAAACAGAACAAACATGACATCAATGATATACTAGTAAAATACACTAAGTCCAATAAAAGATGAAGAAACTACAAGGAGAAACTAGAATGGAAAATAGGCTACAGGGACTATATGGGTTCATTAACACAAAGAATTTTTGAGTCTGGCCTAAATAATTAATTGCCTTTGACATCATTTTGCTTTCCCCTTTGTTAAAGTACATTTTTCTCAAAGTCAGCAATACCTTGTCTACCTGTCCTGTCTGGGAGATTGAAAGATAAAGGTCTGTAAGAGAGAAGAACGGAAAGAGCTAGAAAGATCAGGATGTTCGGAAAAAAGAAGACTGACTTTTAAAAAGTAGTGACTAAATTCAGACCCATTTATGCATCTTAAAAATAACATGAAAAACATAAAAACTAACAAGTCTCCCCAACCCCTACCCCTCTTACCTCCACCCCGCAGGGAGTCCTTTCATTCCTGGGCAGATTCCAGGGTGCCTCTTACACTTCCCCCAAATCCCACCAACCTCCCCAGCTTAAACCCTCCTCTTCCAAGATCCCAATGTTACAATAAACCGTTTCTCTAACAAAGCAGGATAGATGTAAAATACATTCAGAGCATATCTTTGTTGCTTCTCTCTTTAAAAATCTAGGTGATCTTTGCTTCTACCTGTCTAGGTATTGAGAATTAAACTGATTCACTTTTGACTGTCACTGAAAATATACTACCTTTAACCCAAAATAATAAAACCTTTTAATTTCTGACAAACTAAAGGCACCTAGATATTCACATTATTCTAAATATTACTTAAATTAATTTTAAAAATATGATAACCAGGTCTTGCCATCAATCATGATACTCTGAATTTTAATTCTTTTTTGGTAAGTTTTTGCTTACATAATAAATTTTAACTAAAATTTAGTAAGAGTCAGCTTAATAAGGACTTATAGTTTGCTCTTGAGTAATTTTGGATTATTCTGCAGTCATTTGTTTGGTAGATATAACCAATTTAAGAAACATGGAAACGGAACCCATATGAAAACTTTTGACAATTCAATGTGTCTGGAATAAAGCTGACAGCATTCCAAATATACTTAAAATATATGAAAATTATTGAAAAATTACAAAGTCAATGTTATTTTTCAACACGATTTCTTAAAATATGATCAGGACTTAATGGCTTCACCTTGACTCAATATCCTATTTTATAACTGAAGTATTAGGAGACATCACATATAGAGAAACACTTGATAAACATATAATGTTGTGGTTTATCCCCAATTGGATTTAAAACACACTTTTCTGTAAAGGAGAAAAAGGAAAACTAATCTGGTAGCAAATAATAGCTGACTATATGTTAAAAGATGATCAGTGGATGAAAAATAGAAGTATTCGCTAATATTCAAAGCCATTTTAAATAGCACTGTTTCTGTAAATGGATTTTTAAGTTATAGTTTCTTATAACTATTTCCATCAAAAATCTAAATTCTGCATTTTACTGTTCTTAATAGATTTAAAAAACTAGTCATTAACAAAGTCATACTGGACAATCAAAAAGCAAATATTCATTATGTAATTATTATAGGTCCTTCATGACTTCTGTCAACATTATATATAGCAAACTAAGGAGAAAAATTATAAAAAGACACAAGAAGAAGGAATTAAATACCTGCAAATGTGAAATTTCCAGACAAGAAGTCAATATATTTTTACAAATGATTACGAAGAATTTATAAATTACTACATATCCATTCATTTTAGACTGATTATTAATGGATTGTGTCACTGTCTCTTGACATTTAAAATCTATATCTATACAGTTTTGTAACGCAAAGTTTAACAGACTACATAATTTTCAAATTATCATTTTACGACTTTAAAAACTACAGCTTAGAGTTTATAGTAAATCTTTTACTATACTTTAAAATACATTGCAAACAAACCACACTAAATATTCTAAGTCCTTTTCCTTGTCCTAAAACAAAATTTTTTCTATTAATCTAGTTTGTTTTCCCTTTTTAAAAACAAATATTTTAAAAATTGGCTATACAACAAGCAAAAGATATACAGTTACCAAAAAGAGTCAATTTTAAGCTCTTTACTGTTACAAGCTTCTCCTTTGGGAAACCAATAGGGATGGTAAATTGAGATAAGAAATGTAAGACTAGTTAACTTTAAATAAAACATTGGAAAATGTTTTTATACAAAGCTTCAACTGTTTCTAACCCTCAGATTTCAGATTGTTCATCATCCTGTGTTTTATTCATTTCAAATGAGCACAGCATTGTGTTAAACTGATCCTTTAAAGTGCCAACAAGATAATTCTTCAGAACTCACCTGTTGTAAATTAATGCTAGCATATTTTTAATATCTTGCTGGCTTTTATAGTAATATTGGCATTATTTCAACCAAACACCTGAACCTGTACTAATAATTATGAATAAATATATTTTCCTAATCTGAGCTATGACTATAAATACCAAAGATAAGAGTATCCTCAAACAAGTATAGTGTTGAATGAGATATCAAGACCACTCATCTTTCTAAACTTCTGCTATAGTAATAAACAATGAAAATATTGTGAACTTGAGTGGCTTACCTACAAGAATGTTGTAGGTAACATTCAGCCTAGTACATAAGGGAAGAGTCATTAAAATTCTAGAGTAAGATTTTATATAATGCTAAAGTGCTGGTTGGTTCTCATTCACCCAATCTAACAGCACAAAGTTAGCTATGTATTAACTAACCAAATCTTTCTCTTATAGAATATAATAAAAGTCATAAATACATGTATCACTGAATAAAATGTGACTTAGCAAACTTGTGAGTGACCTTTGGGAAAGATCTAGAATTAAAAGATTAAGGCACTGAATTTCCTTTTTCAATAAGTAATCAGGCTTGCTAAATACCTATTATAACTTCCTCTTGAGAATTCCATTGTCTTGCATTTCCTTTTCCAGAAATAATTTTGTAATGCTAAATTTATATCTCTTCAAAATATTAGTTCTAAGATTTCTTTGATAATTACTGACTAATGTTTTATAAAACAAATATTGATTCCATTTTTCAAATAATTAATTTCTTTTTTAAGCAATAGAATTTAGAATTGTGTTAATTATCCAAGGCAGTTACGACCATGGCTAAAAGAAGAAATCACAAAACTATTTGGTGGATAGTAGCCACAGAACATTTAACATACTAAAATTTGTATATTCCCTTTTTAAAAACTGAATAAGCATACCAGCTGTACCTAAAGGGTGATACTGAAGGACAAACAGTGAAAGCTACAAATCATGCATAATTTATGATCATGCTTACTATCTTCATTAACTAGAGCACCTTCCATTCTTACCTCAGATTTCTCCAGTTTATTTTGTGCATCAATTTGTGTAACAATCTCATTCATGTTGGTCTCCAATACCATTCCCCCCATCACCATTTCTGCAAGAATATTGTGAACCTAAAGGAAAAAATAATACACACCCATAAAGCAAAACTCACTACAAAAACACTCCATAATTCCAGTAATTTTTGTTTCAAATACTACTGTGTCTATTTTATACGTATGAGCTATAAAATAATTTGGAGTAAAGGCTCATAATCCACTTTCGTCACTACTGTGAAGTCAAAGGCAGTTAGTTATATAACCTCTTTAAGTCTTAATTTAATGGGCTGTAAAAGATAATAATATGCTCAAGGTACTTAATGAAGCTATGTGGCATTACTATAAGCTCTAGATTGAAAAAAAGTAAAAATTTCTTTTTATTGTAGATACTTTAATAATGCTTTTACTTCACAGCCCTCTCTATATGAAATACTGAGATTTCTTCATATCATCGAATACATCTTAAAACTGAAAATAGCAACTTCCATTGGGGAGAAAAAAATATAACCCAGGTGTTCTTTCATACGGTATTTATTGAATCAAAAATCATTTCGAAGCTGAATTAAGTTTCATAGAATAGTATACTCTGCAATAATTTTTTTAAAATAATGTGGTGGCATTAAGAATGGAAATTTTGAAATTAGATATAAATACTGACTCTATTATTAGTTATTAGCTATATGACCTTCAGCAGTTATAAGACCTAAGTCTGTTACCTTATCTGTAAAATAGAGCTAGAAATAGTATAGGCATCTCATAGGATTATCATAAGAATAATTCATGTAAAGTGCTTAGTATAGCACCGACAGGTATCATAATAATTTTATTGTTTTTAAACAAAAACTTATTTTAGTTAAATATACAATTGTTTTTCTTTCCTTTTTAAGATTTGGTGCAAATGTATTCAAGATTTTAAAAATATCCTATAATTATTTACTAATTTTTCATTATGGCTAGATGAACACCTCATGAACAAATTTTGAATAAAGAGTTACAGAAATTTCCTAGCAAACAACACAAAACCAGAAGCCACAATTGTTTTTAAAAATTAGTGCTAAATATCATCACTTTGACTACTATCCTTTCTGTTACTAGATACCATTTATTAAAAATGTATTTTGATTCTGTACTTATAGTATCTGATTTAATTCTCACATTAACCTTTGTTAAAGCTGAGAGAATAAACCAGCTTACTCAAGACACATAAACTTATATGTGAAAAATAACAATTCAAACCTAAATCTGAGTGATCCAAATCCAATTCCTTGTTTTCTTTTGTTAACAATAATAAATGAAATTTGTACAGCTAATTAATTTTAGTCATAATCTATGAAAATTCAATTAAATATCAAGAAGATAATTAGGTGATAAAATAAAATACTTTTTAAAAGCTAGTAAGTACTGCGTGCAGGAAAAGTGTTCAGAAAGAAAGGCCATGGATAGCTGACAGATTCATTAAAACTTCTTTTAGTAGTAGAACTTCTTTTCAAAACGAATTCTCATGAGAAAGCACAATTTGTAATGTTGATAAAAATGTCACAACTCCACACCCCTCCCCCATATTTTGCTGGGGCTTTCTCGTGAGTTCATCCTTATATAAAGTGTACCACTGCCTTTCCAAAAACATCTCAGAACACGAGCACCAGAGTAGTGGAAACCATAAACTTCAGGATCACAGAAACATCTACCAAGTTTAGAGGTATCAAAACATGAACAGCCTGCAAATGTAAGTCATATCCATGAAATTCTATGTCAATTTAAGAGATAAGAACTAAGGTGTACATTTGTCCTTGAAGTAAAAATAACTCCTACGAAAACAAATTCAGAAATTCAGAAGAGACAGAAAACACAAATGAAGAGCCAATAAACTAAATCCTTAAAGAAACGTAATCTCGTTTATTATAAAGATAATAAATGCCTAAAGACTGTATTCTTTGCGAGGAGATACTATACATTATGTAGAAATTCAAAGAGATAAACAATATGGGAATGAGAAATATTAATTGGAAAGTTACTCCAAAATTATCAAGGTTATGGTGTTCAAAGTAAGGTATGTCACATGAGGAGGGAAAATTTAGCTTCTTCTGGACATAAACCATAACTTCTACTTTCATTTTAATTTTTTTACAACTCAATATAGGCAAATGATTAAAAGTTCAAGCCATAAAAAAACTATGTATGAACAATAATAGTGTCCGCCACCCTTTGAGCTTGTTATTAGGTCCCTCTATCCAAAGATAATCTGTTAATTGCATCTTATATATCCTCCCAGAATTTTTTTATGCATACACTTATATGTGTGTGTGAATATATATATATATATAAAATTTACACAACTGAGATCACACTATATATATTATATTTCACAATTCTGCAAGAAAATAAAAAATGTGTTAAAAGTTAGAGGCAGGAGAGAATGAGGATGTGAATTAAGAAAATAATAAAAGATACTGTTGCTAGATATATGTATAAGAATAATCAATGGCACTTTGTTGGTTAAAAACAAAGGCCCAAAAATACAAAACTATAAAATTCACCAATCCATACTATTCATTACCACACTTCTAAAAATAAGAGATGTACAGAACACTCAGAAATATAGATAGATTATTAAATGAAAAAATGAGTGGGGCAGAATATCTATAATATGGTCTCACTGAAGTTTACAAAAAAAAATTATACACATACACATACAATACTTGGATATAGCCAAAAAAAATCTGAAAAAAGCATGTAAATACTTTTTAAAAAATACTACTTTTTAAGAATAGTTTTAGGTTCACAGTAAAATTGAGAGGAAGGTACAGAGATTTCCCATACATGCAGCCCCTACCTCAACATCGTATTTTCCCCCATTATTAACATCCCCCACCAGAGAGGTACATTTGTTAAAACTGATGAACCTACATTGACACATTATAATCACTCAAAGGTCACAGTTACCTCATGGTTCTCTCTTGGTGCTATATATTCCATGGGTTTAGAAAAATATGTACTGACATGTAGCCATCATTACGGTATGACACAGATTATTTTCACTGTCCTAAAAATCCTCGGTGTTCCACCTATTCATCCATCCCCCTCACTTCCTAACCCTTGGCAACTATCAAAGCTTTTACTGATTCCATAGTTTTGCCTTTTCCAGAACATTATTTAGTTGGAATCGTCTAGTATGTGTAGCCTTTTCAGATTTGCTTCTTTCACTTAGTAATATGCATTTTAAGGTTCTTGGATGTCTTTTCATGACGACATTTTATTTCTTTTTAGCGCTGAATAATTTTCCATTGTCTGGATGCACCACAGTTTAACCATTCACTTACTGAAGGACACTTTGGTTGCTTCCAAGTTTTGGCAATTATAAAAAGAGCTGCCATAAACTTGTATATGCGAGTTTTTGTGTGGATGTTTTTAGCTCCTTTGGTAAATAACAAGGAGCGTGACTGCTAAACTGTGTGATAAGACTGTTTCGTTTTGTAATAAACCACCAAAGTATCTTCCAAAGTGGATGTATCATTTTGCATTTCCACCAGCAATGAATGAGAGCTCCTGTTGCTTCACATCCTCACCAGCATTTGGTGTTGTCAATGTTCTGGATTTTGGCCATTCTAATAGGTATGTAATGGTAGCTCATTATTCTTTTAATTTGCTGCAAATACTTTTTAATAGATAATATTTACCTAATAGGACTGGCAGAATAGTATGGAGAAAGAATGAAGACTTATCTTTCATTTTATAGGTTTTCCTTGTTTTGTTTTGAAATTTTTTAACATATATTACTTGGTTTAAAAACTTGCTAAAAATAAGAGAGACTGTGCAGTAATTCAGAGGAACAATATTAAAGGCAGTGGCCATGCACACATTTAACTTATTTAAAAGGTAGTAAAAAGTTATTGAATATTTGTTAATAGTGATAAGAAAACACAAGCATGCCACTTTTTACGTATGTTTAAATTGTACAAATTCTATCTTATATATGTGTCAATGCAGAACCTGGAGACTTTTGCTTAGAACTACCCTAACATGTTAAGATTAGGTGGTTTCTATTATTTTAATAAAATATTATAATGTACATTATGGGTACCTAATAAATATTAAATATATTTTTTCTTCAAAACTGTTTATCTCAGTTATCTTAACATTCAAAAGTTAAAGAACAAAGTGTTTAGTTGTATTTAAGTTTTCACTGCCCCATCAATAAACCGTTTTTATTCAATGTTTATATAGTGCTCACAGACAGCAGCATCCTGGTTTGAGTAAAGTCTGCATCAACACTAGAGAGTAGAATGAAGACTAAGTCAACGCATTTCACTTTTTAACAATTACAAGTCCTCTACCAAGCTGAACCAAGCATCTAAAAAAGGGTAAATAAAGGAAAGGCAGTCAAATTATGTAGATTGCGTTCTATGAATGGTACTTGTTTTAGAGCATAAGAGCTACTTTGCTATAATTTATGCTAGAATTGAGGCCCTTTTCACCAAACATTTTAAAATTTTACTATATTAATATCTGACTACGGGGTGGGTCAAGTAAAATATGGCATATCCATTCTATTCAATACTTCACTTAAGAATAAAACTGATATGTATGTATGGATATGGAAGGATCTAAAGATAGATGAAGTAAGTAAAGCAAAACATAGAACATAACGTGAAACCAAAACAAACTTAATCACTCACTGAACCAACAGAACCATGCATATCTTTGAAAATATGTAGAAAAATGTCTGGAAGCCTATCTAGCCAAAGTATTAGGAAAAATTACTTCAGAGAAGTAGTATGGAATGGGATGAGTGGTGTAAGGAGTGGTGAGTGGTGTAAAAAGAACCTTCATATTTCTGAAGTTTTCTACTACTCAAAACTTTCACTTGATAATGTTATTAACCTTAAAAGTGTTTGCTAAGGAAATAATCAGTTCTACAGTAATCTGGTTAATATTATCTTGAGATTGATATAGTTGAATGGGCTCTGGTGCTAAAGAGTACTATCTCCCCACAAACTATTGTTTAATATATTATATAAAAAATTGAAAGTATGATAATTTTGAAAATAATATTTAAATATCAATTAAATATAAAT